TAGCCATAATTTTGTGCCCATTTGGCTGGACCCCACATGGCACTATGAACCCGATCGCACCGTTATACCTAGGATTTCTGTCAGGTTTTGAAAATAGGCCGACAGTCGGCCAACAACTTGTGTAGTGTGAGCTGGACATTACACTAAGGAAGAGCACCGGAGTTGAGCCTTTTTTCATTCAGTGTCATCAACAGAAAGAAAAAAGGCCGAAGAGACGATAAAGCCGATAATTAAAATGAGGTGGATAGGTTTAATTTATCGTGCGATTAATTGATTTATCTGATTTATCGTTTATCGCGACAGGCCCAGTCAGTTCCAAAGAATCACTTCCTGAAGTGCAGGTAGGTGTGTAATGAAGGTAGTGATTTAGCTTTTTAGCATTAGCTTGCACTCAATACCATGTTGGTATAGCGCTTTAGCATTAGCGGGACTAATATTTGTGATTTTGCTTTAGGTTTAGCACAAAGGTTTAGTGCAAATATAAATTAAGCTGCAAATGAATCCAAAAATAAATAATAAAAGATCTTCAATCTACACTTGAACTGGATCAGAGAGCGTCAGACTCATACCTGTCTGCTATGCTGGCTGGTTTGACTTTGTCAATGATGATGACCTGCTTGCTGCAGAACATGGAGGTGGACAGAGCCACGCCCAGGCTGGATCCTGCCGCCTTGGCAACCTCAACCAGCAGGGGGCCCGACGCCGTGGCAACCGAGTCTGAAAGGGTGAAAGCAGTCACTGGTGTTCACTGGTTGGCGTTCCACAGGGCTCCGCCCTCAGTAACCTTACATTTCATGGACTCTGATGGTTTTATGGCAGCAGCTTGTGGGTTCATTTATCTGGAAATTACAAGTAATTCTTTTCCAAACTCACCTGTTCCTGTCCAGGAAGTTACAAGCTAATTTTCCTTCAAAGCAAATAAAAAATTTTTTCTGGAGTTTATTGAGTTATTTTAATGTAACTTATAGGTTCTTGTCCAGGAAGTTATTACTTTCCCTGAAACTTTATACAAAACGTGAAATTTACTTACAAGCTGCTTTTATTCCCAAATATATACGATAATTTATCCAGGATCGATCAATTCCTTTACCTTAACTAATTAATTTCCCCGACACTTACCATCTTAAGTTCTCACATAAAACAAATTGGTAAATGCAGAAAAAACTTCTAAAAGTTTTGTCAGCTGTTTTAATTTACTAGATTTAAAATCATGATTATAAAGTGATTATTTACTTTTCCTCCAAGAAACAAATTAGTTGCATATTTAAGGTGTAATCAATGTGCAAAGCAACAGAAGACGATTTAAATATTTAAATATGTTCCTTCAAAAAATAATGGAAGTTACACTTTCTCATACTTTTCTGATAAGAGAAAGAATCCTGCAGTCTGTCTTGTTTGAAGTTAAATTATCAAAAGATTGACTAAAATTTAATAAATAAACAAGGTTTTGTTATTTAAAACTTTTCTATAACTTCTCCTGGAAATTCCTGATGTTAAGGCTGTAATCAAACATCCTAAACAACAAAACAAACATTTCACAGTGAAGCTGCAGAAATCATGACTTCCTGTCGAAGTAAAAACCGAACTGACCCATCACCGACACGTCGTACTCGATCAGCAGCGTGGCCTCCTGGCCGCACTGCTTCAGGATGCTCATGGCCTCCGACAGCGTGCTGCCATGGAGACGAATCCCATCGATGCTTAGCAACCGATCGCCTGGCTTGATGGTTCCTTCTCTGCAGAACGACAACGTCAGGTTTTAGCTCCTACAGAAGCTCCACAGGGACAAAAAGTCTGCAGAGGTCGGTACCTTTCGGCGGGTCCGCCCGGCCGGATGGTTGTTATGACGATGGGGCGGGTCTTATTCCTGTCCTCATGCGTTCCTCCTGTAAGAACGAGTCGCTTTATGGTTTTGTTTGCATTTATTTTTGAGATGCTCAAACACAAACCGAGCCGCGCTCACCTCTGATGACGAAGCCGAAGCTGTTCCCTTCTTTGTGAAGCGTCACTTCCACATTTTTAAAAATGACCCCTGACCCCTGCACGGCTGCAACAGAAACACATCGTCAACACACAAACAGGTACAAATCAGATTTATACCACTTCCATATGTGGAACTAAATCAGATCCGACTGTTATAGAAGAACATTTAGGGCTGCAACTAACGATTATTTTATTAATCGATTAATCAGATAATCCAATTAATGATTATCCTGATCATTAATCTGATAAATATTGTCCCATTCTGCAGATTTTTCATTAAACTGCTTAAGCATTTTCGTTATAATATTAGAAATACATTAAGGAATAGAAATAAACAAATAAATTCCTTCTTTAAATAAGAAAATAAACATTTTATTATGTAAGATGCCATAACGCAGCTTTCCTTTAGTAAATTTGAATCAGCTGAATAGGAAAAAACGCCACCTAAGGAGTTTTGGGTAAAATATATTTACAGACAATTAAGATTTTATCTTAAATGCGAAATGTTTATATGTTTTGTACAGTTTTGGCTTAATTACTGCTCTGAGTATGTTGTTTATGTCAGCAAATGAGCTTTTGCTGACAGATAACGAGCATACACTCGTTAACTAGAGCATAACTGGAGTGTATACTCTAGATAACGATTAATCAATTATTAAATTAGTTGAAGATTTAATTCTGCCAAAAACCAAAAAACCTTTAAATTACTCAGAAATTTTCTAGAAAGAAACTTGGAAATTTTTGAGTTTCAAAAGTTGAAAATGTTCAAGTATTTTCAAAAAGAGATTTAAGATTAATCTCAAAATTTTTAACTTTATTTTTCACAAATCTTTAGATTTTTGTTACTCAGAAATTCCCCATTTTTCTAGAAAATGTCTGAGATTTATTGTGAAAATTTCTGGGAGTTTTTTGGCAGAAATGTATTCTTCTCTGTCTACAATGGGCCTAATGCACCACTGTACTAAAATGTTACTTCAACATGTCAAAATATTAAAAAAATTCAAGGGATGTAAATGCTTTTGGAAGATTAAAGTAGTTCCTAAATTCAAAACTGAATAAATTTCAGCTCCTGAGAAGGAAAGTATGAACATGCTGAGTCACTTACAGACGGGCGGCAGCTCGTACTCGACCTCCAGCACCACACGCTCCCCGACGTTCTTCAGCAGGCTGATGATCTCGTCGTGTCTGAACTTGGCCAGGTTGATGCCGTTGACCGAGCGGATGTAGTCGCCCACATTCAGCTGGTCACTCCTGAACAAACAGAGATGGTTGTGAGTTTTATTAAATGCTATGGAATATATATATATATATATATAAAAACATAAACTTTATTAAGAAAATAAACTAATTACAAGAATGAACTCAGAATAAAGACAAAAGGAAATAGCACCAAAATTAAATCAGTAAAAACAGCACGCAAGTAAAGTCAAAAACATTACAAGAAAAAATTTGAAATGCTACGAGAATAAAATCATAATACTGTCAGAATAAAGTGGTAATATTATGACTTTATTCTCACGTTTTTCTTTTCTTAGCGTGGTCCTAATACTCCGTCATAATATGTGTAACACAAGTATTTGGTTAACGGGAGACAGGTTAATATTTTCTGATTGAAGATCTGCAACAGGAAAATAAGGTTTTCCAGTCGAAAAAAAATCAACTGGAACGCCCTCCGAAATCAGATTTGTCTCTGGAAACTGGGAACAACTCTGACTGGCCCCAGTAAGGACTTCAGTGAACATAAGACGTGCTGAAAACATAATTATTTTACACAACACACACATGATAGTGCGTTTCTAAACCGAACAAATCAAAAAATGGTGTTTGTTTATGGAACGTAAAGCTTATAATTATGAGTGTGTGAGCTATTGCAAGCAATAGCTTTAGTTTATGGGCGCCGCCATGTTGAAATTATGACGCTGTTACCTCGGGTGTAACGTCAAACCCAGCTTCGAGTTCCCACTTCACTAGCAACTGGAACGCAACATTTTTATGTGAATAAACGAGCAAATGACAACAAAAACAACTGCGGATAACATTATGCTCTGTGTACTACTTAATCTGTTCAATTTAACACAACCTCTGACAGGAAAAATACAGGAATGAGGTGAAAGCTAGAGAGATGGAAGCTAAAGGTCAAAAGCGCATGCGCGTTCACTGTAATACTAAAATCACAGAGCCATCTAGCGGCTTGGCATGGCATCTACAGCTGTTCCAAAAGTGCCGTCGAAACGGGGAACTTTTTCCCAAACATCCGCAGTTTCCAGGGAGCGGTATCGTTTAAATGTAGACGAAATTAATCGATATCACCTTGCAGCGATCCCTCCTTGTCGCAGGTTCGAAACCCGAGGCTTCCCGTCTTTGTCGATTCCTCCTGAAACGGTGAGTCCGAGCGTAGTTCCCTCCTTCTTCATCAGCTCCACCACCGTGCAGCCCCGAAACTCTTCTGAAAAACAGGTCACTGCGGCTCATCGTCAGTGTTTCTACGACGGCGTAACAGCGCCATCGTAGACAAAAAATAAGCACATTTCCACCAAAAAACTCAGCAATTTCTAGATTAGTCTCAGAAAATTAAAGAAAAAAAATTTAGTTTGTTCAGCTTGAAAAAAAAGCTCAAAAATTCTGAAATTAACCTTAGAAATTTCAAACTGAGAAATTTCTCAGTTTGAAAAGTAGAAAATCTGCTAGAAACAAAGCTCAGAAATGTCTCAAAAATTTTCTATAAAACAAAAGAGAAAAGCAAAACAAGGAATTTCTGAGCCACAAAAGTCAATATTTGCCAAAAAAATCTCAGAAATTTTTAGATTAATCTCAGAAATTTTCGAGAAAAAGTAATGAAATTTGAGTTTGAAAAGAGCTTGAAAAAAATCAGAAATTGAGATTAATCTCAGAAACTAAAACAAAAGACATTTCTGAACTCCAAAAGTTGAATTTTGAAAGTAATCTCAGAAATTTTTTAAATAAAACTTGTAAATTTGAGTTTGACAAGTCAAAGGTTTGATTTAAAAAGACTCAAACTTCAAATTTTATTGAAAAGACAAGAAAATTTCTGAGCTTGAAAAGTCACAAATTTGCTAGAAAAAAAATGATATTTTTAATTTCTGAGATTAATCTCAAAATTTCATTTTTTGTAGTAATTTTTTGACTTTTCAAACTTAGAAATGTTCTTGTTTTTTCTATAAAATTTCAGGGTTTTTTGGTGGAAATTTACTCCTTTTTTCCGTCTACAATGACCCTAACACGCCGCCGTAGTGTTTCTCTAAAACACAAGGAGAAATTAAATAATAACCCCAACAAACAGAAAAGAAGTCATCTCCTGATCTGTCGGCCATCTATTTTTTATCAAACCTCTGAATTATTCAGCAGAGGAAGCGCTGGGCGCGAGGAAACTACAGAGCTGCTGCCGCGCGATGTGAACCGTCCTCAGGTGATAAAACAGAAATCTGGATTTCACTCAGTCGTTGGATTTTAATATTAATGAGTCAGGGATTCACCTCAGTCCATTCAGCGATAGAATTACGACGGCTTCACAAACAGCAGCGAACTGCGACTCCATCTAAACTAAGAAAACCTCCAATCTTTGATTTTGCTCCCATGTTTGATGAAGCAGCTCCCTGCAGCTGCAGAGGAGTGACTTCTAAAATTGTTTCTTCACAAAACGGCTTTTTTTACTTAAAAGGAGCTGAGGAAGAAAGCCAGGCTCACAGGAAGCTCTATTTCTGTAGACGGGCTCTTTGCAGCCTGAACTGTGCCTCCTCTGTTCCACCGCTGATGAAGCAGCATCAACCTCCAGTCTCTGTGCCAGGAGTTCAACCGGGAAATTAACCCGCAGCACTTTTTGAAGGTTTAATTTTAACTGTGATTTAATGGAAATGCAAAAAACCATTTAATTTCACCAACTGCTTGTTACTGGAAGCCAACAAAGTCTATCCAACTGGGAATGTAAAACGTCAAACTTGACTTTATGAATTAAATACTTAAATAAAATAATCCAGTAAAATTGAATTAATGAAAAATTTAAGCAAATAAAAGACAGCAAAAAAACTAAAGTAAAAAACAATAAAATAGTGCAATTACATTAAAAAAGTCAGACCAAATAAAGTAGAATCTATTAAAAAATAATAATTACAAACCATTTAAAAAGTACAACAAAAATTATATTAAATTTGAAGCAATATTTTATGTCAAAACAAATAAACTGTCAAACACATTACATTTAATTAAAATAATAAAAAACAAGATGAAATAATAAAAAAAAAAAAAATATTTTAACCAAAACTAAATAACTAAAATATAACCCAATCAATGCAAAACAATTAAAAAAATTATTTTATTTTATAAATCCAAAAAAAACAAGAACGCCAAAATATAATTAATTAAAATAATTTTAAAAACATATTCTTCCAAACCAAGTAGTTATAGCACATAAAAATCAAAATATAAGTACATAACACTTAACAAAATTAGATAAATAAATCTAAATCTAAATAACTAATAAAATAAAACAAAACAGAGAAACCGTTATGGTTTCTCTGATGCTTTCAGAGAAACCATCGTACGTCTCCAAGTGATTTTCTTTTTACTGGTCTTACTGGTGTAAACACATTAAACAAACATTTCCACCAGTTTCTGCAAATAGTTTAAACTCTTCCTTATAACAAGCACCTGGCAGGTTTTCGCAGAAAGCAGTCCTAACTAGGACAGCAGCTCCAGGTGGGAGCAGATAAAGTGCAAACAAAGCATCTTCCTACAACTAATGGGAGGAAAATATCAGCTGTTCCTGTTCTCCACTTTCAGCTGCTTTACTCCCAACCGCAGGAATCCCAGTAACTAATTTTAAACCGTCAGCAGGATGATGGTGGGAGTGTTACCTGGAATACTCTGCCTCCTGATGGCCAGCGCTCCATCTGGAGGTCGCGACCCGGCAGGGTGCTTTGTGTACGGCCCTTCATCTGAAAGGAAAACACAGAAAAAAAAACATCATTTATTGATTTAAACTCCAATCAGCTGGATTCAGAACAACAACACTTCTGTCTGGTTTTATTTCGCTTCAGACGTCCCACCAACAACTACTGGGTAGTTTTAAACAAATCTTACATCATTCTGGGAAAGAAAAAAAAAAACTTTCTGTTTCATCAGTTCCTTAAACTGATTTTCAAGCTCCAGCCATTCATTTATACGGGAATTATGGAAAATTGACATTTTGCTAATTTTTGTACTTCCTTTTTTGTTTCTACTGCTTCTAAAAACAACCAAAGTGCTTAAAAAAACACCAAGCCATCTTTTTGGTGTCTGGAAAAGGAGTCATTTCAAAAACCTCCCAACTGTTAAGTCACATTCCAGCGCACTGCACCGTTACTTAGCAACCCAAGCAGAGTTCCGCCCGTTACCTAGCAACCACAGCAGAATTCCAGCATGGTTCTACAGCTGTATGCAAGACAAGTGTTTTGTTTTTCATCAGTCTGTTGTAACAGGTACAACAGTTCAACTGCAGTAGCCACCATCCGACCAAAAGAGGGCAGCACTGAGACGGTCTTAGGCAAAAATATTGCAAAACTAAATAAATGTGCAAAAAATATCACAATTCACACAGAAACATATAGATATTACCCTAAATAACATATTTAGACAATTTATCAACACAGACAACAACAGACTTTTTACTTGTCTAGAAAACTATTTTTTTATGTTTATCTTTTTTAATGAGTAAAACAAAAGTTTAAGATAAAAAACTGTCAGTAAATATAGACTGATGGTTTGATTTAATTATGAGTTTTAATCCAGTTAGAATCTCAGATTATTAAAAGAAAACACCAAAATAACCAAAAGTTTTCAGTCAAGCTCTTTCTGTTTCATCTCGCTCTTTACTTTGGCGTTATTATATTTTGGCTTCCTGTTGGGCTGTAATTTATTCTAATCTGATCTGGATCGGCTCTGTTCGGTTCCAGCAGCCCGGCTCAGAAGCAAAATGAGATTGTGGAAACACTTCAATGTTTTGCAGCCATTGTGAGGACACTGCTATCCTGGAGGTTCAGCTTGCACTGAAGATGGTTTCTGACCCTAAAACTACGTCTTCTGATAAAATTTCAGGATTGTATTTATTTCGCTCTCCAAATTGAATCCCCTGAATGTAATTGTTTCAGCTTTTGGTCCCCAGTAGACTTGTAACACACACACTCACATTCAGACCATATCTAAGTGAAGATGAAAGCCGAGCCTCCTCCTCCTCCTTCAGATGTAGGGCAGCAGCATCCAGCCTTTTCTGTGCTCAGCGACACTACTATGTACTCAACATGCTCTGTATAATACTGCATAAGGCTCAAATAAAGGCTTTGGATGAAATCCTGACGTAAATTCACTGAGACTGAGGATTAAATTTGCATTTCCAGTGATGCTAAAATATAAACAAGCGATGTTTGTTGCATCAGGACATCCTAAAATCAGGTGAACAGCAACAAAACATGACACTTCACACCATCTCATTACTTATTCAGAAGAAATGAAACCCAAAAGCAGGAGCAGGGAGTGAAAACCAACCCTAGCCGTCACTACATGAGGGAAAGTAGCAGCAAATGATCTTTAAACGCGTTTAAAGGGAGTCCGTACTTCTGTAACCAAAGTCAAATAACAATCTAGTCTTAGTTTGACTCATTGATTTTGTGTTTTTACAAACAGAATAAAGATTTCCTGATGTATTTTAGATTTTGAGGAATGAGTTCATGTTTTTTGGCGTCTGGAAAATGAGTTGTTTCAAAAACCTCTGGAATGTAATGTAACAAATCAGCAGGCACTGCCCGTACCTTAGGAACCCAGGCAGAGTTCTGACTGTTACCTAGCAACCAAAGCAGAGCTCCAGCATATTTGGTCAGCTGGTTTAACTGCTGCATGTGTTGTACAACGGCTGCTGGAAAAGTCAAGTGTTTTATTGTTGACTTGCCATCCAGAAACCACTTGCTGCACTCCGGTTGGTTGTGCATGAGGCGCTACTGATGCTTTTTAAAGATGTACGGTTGTATAAATGCGCATCTGTTTGAAATGTTGAGTTTATTTGGATTTAAAGTGATGAGTCCCTAAAACAGGACAGAACTGAAGAGACAAAAATCTCATTATCATGCAAAAAATCTACCGAACATGTTTTGTATAGGCCATACACCTACCCTAACATGTTCAAAAGAATAATCGATCACCTGTACAAACTCTGCATAGTAATCTAGATTTAAATGAGCTCATTTGTCCAAGCAGAGCTGAACAAATGGACAAACAAGAATAAAAAGAATTGAGGTGTCAAATCATCCCAGTCAAAGCTCAGACCTTAAGAGAGCTTCAGATAACAGGTGTAACAAACAGCTCAGGTCAGTTTGTTGTTTTGACGAAGGTCTCCTCACAGCGCCTGCAGATCGATAAGGTTGTTCTGAGTGATTCCCTTCATCCTGTGGTGAAGCAGCAGGGGGTCCCTGTACAGATCGATGGCTATAAACTGATCGGTGCTGGCAGAAACTGACTGGATAACACCTTCTCAGGACCTGGTTTTCATTTTGGGAATGCATAATGTAATAATTTACCTCATTATATCCCTAAATGTCTTTAAAAATGTCCCGTACCGAAGATCTAAGGCTTGCTGCTTATTAAAAATAAACAATATTTGCATTTACTTTCATTACTCTTGTCCTGCAGCTACTATGTGGGGTTTCAAAGCTGAGCTGTGTTTTCAGTTGTATATTTAATATCCTCAGAGGAATACAGCGACACACTGACGCTCCGTACCTTATTATAGACTCATTCAAAGCCGTTTAAAACACACAGGCGAACCGAAGGAGCAGCCGCTGTGGCGGAGACAAAGCTTTTCTCCGAGGGTTAAATTCAGACGTTAAGAGGTGCTGCTTTAAAAACCACCGAGTCAAGATGTTTGGCTGCGAGAGGAAACCTACTGAGCCACATAAAAAGAGCTGCGAAACTTCAAATGGAGGCAAAAATGATGAAAGTTATTCCCCAGCTTGATCCTGGGAGTCCTGGGGCTTGGAGTGGAGGACGGAGTCCAACTTGTTCAAGTGTTTGCTGTGATTCCCGTAATTAAAAAGGAAGAAGAGGGGAAGAGCGGAGCCAAAGTCAGAGTCTCAACGGATTTTAGGCAGACGAGGTTCTGGTTTCCAGCCTGGTTCTGCTGCTGGGACATGGAGGATGCAGCTCATGTAATCCAATAAACCATCTGCTGTTCAAAAGGTTAAATATTAGGTTTTTTTACAGACATCTAAATATAGATAACAAAAGGAAAGCACATTCAGATCAGGTGTTCTTGTTAATTTGTGAATACAAAACATTAATCCAATAAATTACCTGTCTGGGAATACGGCTTAAAAATAAAATCCCTGATTTTTTTTCCATATAAGATCCAATTAAATGGGTTTCTTTTCTAAAACAACAGAGAAAATATTTTCAAAAAGTCGATTTTATTTCAATCAACCCTTCTGAGTTGAACGACAAAGTATTAGAGTCATGCTGCGAGATTTTTTGTTAAATTATCATGGAAGAGTCTGCAGGTACTGCAATGTTACCTAGCAACCCCGCCAGAGTTTCGCCCATTGCCTAGCAACCCCGCCAGAATTCCAGCATGTTTGGTTAGAAGGATTTACTGCAGTATGCACTGTGCAATGGCTGCTCGTTTTTCTATTTTCTCTTTTTCTACCAAAAACAGGATGATAATCCGTAGGAAAAATTTGTAATTAAAAAAATATTTACGCTGCACCTTACTTGTATACTTACAGCCCAGATGAGAAATGTTTGATTTTACTAATGTTGTCAGAGGAAGAAAAGCTAATTTTTTACATTTTACATCCAATAGCAACTCAGTACTATTTTTATTTCTCCACTGATTCATTATTTGATGTAAAAAACAAATAAAAAATCAAAAGTACACATAGCAAACAGAGCAGAAAGTGTCCTGAAATAAACTCCAACTGACAAAAATGTTTTGTTCCAACACTGTTGCTGTTTGTTCAGGATTTAGTCATTCAGACCTAATTTGGATGTTGTTTTCACCTCGTCTGTGAGGCTGCAGCACAATCCTGGTTGTATAATGATAATTCAATTGAATCTGTAACGTCCCAGTAAACCATGACATTGAACCAGCTAACTTTTGAACTGTGTAAACAAGAGGAAGAAGCAGAAATGAAAAGAAAAGGCAGATAAAAAAAAACATATCAACCGAAACATGAGGAGAAGCACAAGTCATAAAATCAGAGAAATTAAAAAGGAGTTTGTTTACATTTGATATGGAAAAAAATAACCCTCTGAAATTACAACAAAAATAAAAATAAATGTTCCTACTTTTCATTTTTAGTAAAAAAAAATATAGCAACAATAAGGAGAGAATGTGTGGCTGAAGTTAACATTTCAGCATCTTAGTAGAGTAACATTATGACAGCGACATTAACGTAACGCAGCTAAACACACGAGTTAAACGTGAACTTTGCTCAACTTTTATGTTGAGAAGAGAGGAAGTTGAATAGTAATCTTGTGGCTTGCTAAAAAAAAGTATTCTGTTCAAACTGTTATTTAGAAAAATGGAAAGTCTGAATCAGTTAGAGCAACGTCTAGCTGAGTTTTGACAGAAATCAAGCTTCAAATTAAAGTTTTTAGTCACTAAAGTTTAATGTTAGTGGACTGTGCTCCCCAACAAGAGCTCTTAAATCACTCTGTACGGTGCTGGATTGTCAAGTCTCTCAAGATAATTCTTTCACATTATACAACATATTTATTTATTTTAGACAATAAAGTGAATGTCTGTAAATCTTAGGATTTACAGACATGTCTCCCTATATGACGGCTATATAAACCATTATTAAGGTTTAAACCTTAATAAACCTTAATAATAATAATAAGGGTTTTAATAAAGGTTTAAACCATTATTAAGGTTTAAACCTTAATAATGACAAATTCAACAAAGATCCCAGGA